CGGGGCCATTGCGAACCGGTCGACTCGCGAGGAAGATGGCGAGGCATGGGGTGAAGTGGTGGGGGCTGATTGGGGTGATGTGCGAAGCAGTCGACTTGTGAGGAAGGGAGTGAGGCAGAACCTGATTGGGGTGATGTGCGAAGCAGTCTACTCGTGAGGAATGCGGCGAGGCAGAACCTGATCGGTGCGGTGTGCGACCCGGTCGACTCGCGAAGAAGATGGCAAGGCAGGTGGTTGATTGGCGGTAGCTGGTCGGGGAGATAAGTGAACCAGTCTACTCACCAGGAAGGGGGTGAGACAGGTGGTAGAATGGCGGGACCTGATCGGGGCGATGAGCGAACAGGTCGACTCGCGAGCAAGGAGACGAGACAGGGTGTGGCAGAGGTGGACAGGGTGGACAGGAAGTGGCAGAGGTGGTAGCCGTGGAGGAGGCTGATCGGGACGATGTGCGAACCAGCTGACTCGCAATGAAGGTGGCAAGGCAAGAGGGTGGAGCGGTGGAGACGACGGACGTGACCAGACAACTTGCGATGAAGGTGGCATGACAAGGTGGTGGAGAGGCGGGAGCTGATTGGGGCGATGTGCGAAACAGTGGACTCGCGAGGAAGGTTGTAAGGCAAGTGATGGAGTGGTGTGGCCTGTTCTGAGCGATGTGTGAACCAGTCGATACGCGACGATGAAGGTGAGGCAGGGTTGGAGAGGGGGGTTGATCGGAGCGATGTGCTAACCCGTCGACTCACGAGAAGATGGCGAGTCATGGGATGAAGTGGTGGGGGCGGGGTGATTTGCGAAGCAGTCGACTCGTGAAGGTGGGGGCGGTGTCGCGGAGTTGGTGGTCTTGTGGTGGGATTGCTGGGGTTGATAGGGGCGATGAGATAATGTATTTTTTTTAAATTCACTAAAAATTGTAATATTGAGGGTACATGCAATACATTTTGGCGGTGAAGAGCAATAAATTTATTTGTTGTAAACAATTTTAACGCTCATTTGCTTCTTGTCTATTAAAATTGATTTACTATGAATATTATTACCAACAACCGAAAATACGAAGAATTATCATTTTCTGTTTTTGAAGTCTGTAGCGTTTTAAGCATGTATTACTCATATAATGAATCGTATATCTTGAAAATTCTGTGTTCTACTTACGTTTTAATTAAAATAACACAAAATATTCTAAATTTTTTTAAGTGTAAATGAAACCATCTGATGTGCTAGCATTGATTAGAATGCAACGAAAAAATCTCTATCTTTAATGTGAATGTGGAGGACAAAAGACGGTTATTGTTTGCAATATTCAAAAATTTAAATGTTTCAATGAAAATATTACATTAATTATCACTACACTTTGTTGAATTTGAGCATGAAACTAAAAAAACTGGATCCGTTTGAAATTGGAAATTTGTAGAATGTGGTAAGGTATCCTGTAAAGTAGGTACAGTAAAATCTGTCTTAATCGTAACTGGTACAAGCCAGAATTCTGCCAGAAATATGCCGGAAAATTTCTCTGACCTGTGAAGTTATTACATTACATAGTATAAAACGGAATCTGCCCAACGTGGAAACGAAGCTGTTTTTCATGGCCTATGGGGATGATTCTTTCTAAAACGGAATTCCTACGAATTTAATCGATTGGCATAGGCGCCAGATATTCTTAATGTAATGAATGCATCTGCAAGTCTGTTTTAAATTCTCTATCGCACGCGATTTATTCGTGGCAACCACACTGAAGGAGAGGGACTTCAGCTGAAAGCGAAGAATTCGACCTTAGGGTCACAAGTCGTTCAATGCATAGGGGGTAGGAAAATTTCGTTCCTCTTCCTGTCTGAGCGGGAGTAGGTATAGGGGCATGGCCTGTATTCGCAGTTCTACCTACCTCACGTTCAAAATCGTAGCCCCTCGGCCAGAGACGCATTGCTCAAGGCCATACGAGGGTATTAGAAAAGCATAGGACTCTGAGCTGTGACGCATTGTGCGTTGAAAGAGTCACCAAGTAGACATATTTCAGCCATTAGGTCGTAAGGTGGTGTGTATTCTTAAGTGTTTTCACAACCAGCTTAACAATACGAAAACCACAAAACTCTAACATTAGATGAAGATTTCAAGCTTATGGAAGGAAATAAAACTCTCAAACTCTCAATGAAGAATGTTTAATAATCATTTATTCATGATTTCGTCCGTAAATACGTTATAACGTATGCCAATCTTTTTAGTAATCATAATAAACTCATTTAATTTTTACTTTACTCAATTACTTGTTTACTTATATTAATTTACTACTTTTAGAACGGAAATATCAAGATCACAAGTGTCGTTAAATGGACAATAGTGCATAAAACGGAAACTTCCCTAAACTGGAACTTTTTTCTCCCGATCTATTGTGGCTTAGACAAATTTTATCGTTTCTCCAAAAAATTTAAATTCAATGAGCCCATAATTGAGCCCGGTGGAGCCGCGAAATCGATCTTTGAAAAACTCCTGTGTAAAGCTTCAATTCTAGTGATATTTGCAAAGTTAAACGGTTGCGCCACTTCATTATTTTCGATGATTTTCCTTATTGCGACAATATTAAATTTTCGTGTAACTGCCGGAATATTATACCCTTTTAAGGGAAGAAAGTCTCATTTAAATCGGGTTTCTTTTGCGAAAGTTACGACGAAACGTACTTACACAATATACACAAATTGTAGAACCTCCTCCCATTGAAGTACGTCAACAATAGTGGTTTACACAATTAGTTTATAATGTTAACTTTATTGCATGAGTACGTGTTTTGAAAACGAGTGACTTCAGGAGCGAGTTTTCAAATTTGTACGAATGTAATAAAGCAACATTATAAACGAGTTGCATATTATATTTTTTTGTTTAACAGCATTATACATTTATAAGAGAATCAAACTTCATTTTGCGAAACAACTTACCTGTGAACACTCGTGTATTTGACATCATGCGAGTAAACGGTGGTCGGCTGTTCCGTTTAGCTCTACCTCCCCCCGATTCTCTCGCTACGATCGGCTGAATGTGTGATGACGCAATTATTCGTGACATAAAATCTAATACGTTATGACATAAAATCTAAAAAAATATATTAAAAAATGCTTTATGTTATACAAGAAGTGGGAGATGTATAAAAAAGACGTTGCTTTCTTCTGACAATTCAGTGCCCTTCCTTTCTTTTTGTCCAGTTTTCTTTCTTTAACTAATTTCTTCTTTATTCTGTTGTGATCGTTCATAGATATAAAGGTTCAGATTCGGAATGAAACGGTCTCATTCCGAACTGAATGCCATTTTGAATCAAGGGCTACTAGTTTCGCGACGATTTCGAAATCTGAACATCCCAGCATAATACCCCAGAAGCTAATATAAATTTGTGAACACACCCAGGTAAATTATCGCTACTATTCAATCAACCACTAATTAGCGTTGAAGAAGATGTCTTCGCGAGAACGGAAGGGGGAGGGCAAACGGCCATGTTCCTTTTCGTTCTGGTTGCGAATAATGGTGGTACTGCTCGCGTACGAGAAAGAACCGCAACGGAAGGCTTGTCAAGGTCGCGGGCAAGGTAACTGGCTTACTAGAGCTCGTGGGCACTGCGTCCCGAGCGGTGCTATTTAAAAGTAAAGGTTGTAAAAATCCCTCCGGGATGACGGTACATCACTGACAATTCGGCCCATGATAGTCATTTCAAGAAGTCAGTTGACAGTTATTTCTCCAAATTTAGATATATGAATTCCAGTTTCCTCTACTAAATCAAAGAAATGATCCATTACAATGTCGAAATACATCAATCAGGTTTTAAATTGTCAATTGAGAGTTAAAGTAATTATTCTGTATTGAATGAGTAAAAACCAGGACGGTATAAGTGACATTTTATAAATTCTGAGGAAAACGTGTTTATGTTAGGCTATATGTCAGCGGCAATGCATTTTTGTTGTTGTAATGAGAAATTGAAACGGCGTTGAATTGTTTTCATGAAGAAACAAAGCACCGCTACATTACAGTCATATTGTCTTAAGTAAACATTGATATTACTCAGAATATTTAAAATTTCACTTTTACTGTTCTACTTTTGACCCACTCAATTGAAAGTATGTTAATTTCGTAATATATTTACTTAAGAGGGCAGTGATTACATTCATTTCCTACGTTCAGGTTTGAATCTGTAACAAAGATTCTTGTCCGTTAAAAGAGCTCCCGTTCCGTAAGCGAGAATTGTTAACTTATAGATATTTATTAATAACTTAATATATCACATTGCTACATTCACAAATAACTGAATGATAAAATATAACACAAAACGAAAACGTATAAATAATTACCCTTTCAAACAAATTCTTGCCACTTGGCAAAAATGTTTACCATAGGCTGAATTTAAAAAGAAAATAAACATAAAATAGTATTTAATAGTAAAAAATATAACCATATCTCAAATTTCGGTTGTTTGATAGAACAAATCTTGCAATCATCTTTGTATGTAGCCACTACTCCATGCCTCGTGCCGCTTCAGGTTGCGCGTGCTCACCCCTTTCTGGATTTTGAGGGGAAATGAGTGAGGACTCGGGGGGGGGGGGGGCGGCCGTGCTCGCAAAAGCGTCGGGCTTCCCGGACGGGCAAGTAGTTTGTGCGGTCGCGGTTTGACACGGCTGTGTTACGGTGTTCTTCACAATACGCAGAATGAAAAGCAGCCCTATTGACGGACACACACCGCAATACCTACAAAGGAGGTAAAACATTTAACTTCTTAATTGTATATCAGTTTTATGAGAATATGATATTGCCATGTGAATAGAAGTTACATTATAAATGTAATGAAGTTTTAAACCTGCGCGACACACGACGGCGAGTATACATACGATTTGTTTAAATTGGCTGTCGTTCTATTAGTCCCAGATTTTAATTTTAATTCTTAATATACCTTCACTTAATGACTTAATATTTACTAAGCTGTGTTTACTGCATTGGATGGACAAAACACTATCTTCGTCACTTCGTAGATTCAACGAACGAATGTAGTAGGCCAGTAGTGGAAACTTTCGGAGAGAATATGACGCGCTTTTTTCTTCTCGGCCAGTAAACGACAGTTGCGACACAACTAGAGTAACGGGAAATGGTGTCCTTCTTGGCGTCAACCTCCATCCCCTTAACTGTGTGTACGAAACATGCGCCGAAGGTCAACAAACCAAAATAAATTATATTCCTGCGTAACGATGCAAGCGATAACACACTACCAAACTATAACTTTTCGCATACAATATTTAATGCAATGCTGCATAACGTAGCTAAAGTTTAAGTGTTCCTTACGTGTCTCTAAAGTTTAAGAGTAGTTACCGATTTTTTTCAACTAGTTGGTAGTAGATGTAGATCATTGTTTTCAACTGTCAAAAGATTTAAAAATTGAAATGTAAACTTTAATGTTCACACGTTAGAAGAATTAATCAAGGTACAATCTGTAAAATTATTTGAAGATAAGTGATTAATTTTGAATAAGTAAATTTCAAGTTGGGCTTTAACGAGATAAGTGTGCGTGTGTATGTGTGTGTGTGTGTGTGTTTTTGTGAGTTCCACACAGTTGGTCGTATGTATTATTTATGGTTCAACATGATGTATACTATACGAGTTATTGTTTTAAAATCATCTCAAAATGACCTCACACCATTTCAGGATCCTTAGGAGAGTTTGAGGACAGTATACATTCTTCTATGTTAATGAAGTATCCTTGTTTGTGGAGTACTTCCCGTACGTAATTTGTAAGAAGGGCTGCACGTACACCATTTTTATGATTGAACATCTAGGGTCCCAGTGCGAATAGTAGCATTGTAAACCTTTATCTTCCTGTCGTCACACTCCTAGTGTTCAATTTCCTGCTGACATATCCCATTCGAATTTAGCAATCAAATATAATGCGGAAAGGAATGTTGAATTGCATGTAGGTCACAATCTCAAGAAAAGCGTTTCATCTATTCGAAACGTTTCCCATAGCTTCCTGCAACCCAAATCCCAAACTCATTGGAGCATTAATTTGAAAATCAATTAGTTCCTTCTTCCCTCGAATGTACTGTGTCATTATAGAAATGCTGGGTTGGATGAACATCGGAAAAATATCCTAACAGAGAAATGCGTCTCGGTGATTATAAGGCATTCCGAAACTTGTGATCCATTTAAAGTGCTTATTTTCTTTCACAATACCGCCTGTTTGACCAAAATGAGAAGCAAAATGTATGTTATTTACAAAGAAATGTTGGAATTCTGGAGGAAAATGGTTTTATTTAAACAAATTAGAAGTTTGGGGCATTACATGTAGTACGTGCCCACTTTGCTGGGATCAGTACATTAAATAAAAATGTAACTAACGTTTTCTTAAGTAAAATAATGAAATGCTTTTTGTTTTTGTTATCAAATTTAAGTCGGACAATGATGTACCTATTCCTCAAAAGCCATTAATACAGGTTGAGCCGTCTAGTAGACGTTGTGTAAAACACAAGTTATTTAATTTTAATTAGATATTTTGTTTACATTTCAAAGACTATGTATTCAATATTTCAATTTCAAGTACAGCGAAGTGTTATGCAATACTGCCTAACAATTCATCAACATCAGAAAAAATATATTCTGACAGAAGCAACGCATCCTTCCGAAATAATTTCACAACATGGTATTACTCGCGCAACTTTTCTTGAAAGATGGATTGAAGAAAGGCGGATAGAGCGAGATTAGTTACGAAATCGGCCACTAGATTTTATGAAGCAATGCCAATCTCTGAAGAATCAGTCATGGCTTCGCAACGTTAAAACGCAATTTGCGTTTTAACTTTCTGAGGAGTTCAAGGTAGCTCTTGTGATAGATATTTACATGCATTGTTCATTTCTTTCGATTTTTGGAAAAAATAACGATTAGAAGTTCTCACCTTCAAAAGAAAATTGTTTCTATTTCGCGCCAGTGAAGATGTGTTTTGAATGTTGTCATTAGTGCTCGCTGCGAGCTTTTGCCTTCAATTGTTTATTGTGACAGAGAGGGGGAAGCAAGGTCATCGTTCAAGAAAAGTTATGCGAGTAATATTAGTGTCTCCGTTCAACAGCGGTTCACCACGCTGGGTCCTACACACACAGAAGTTAAGGGAATCGTCAATTGGAAGCAAAGCGAAAACCATCGACTACGAGGCACCCAAATACTCCTGAAATGTAGTCAGTGTATGAAAAGTGTGAGCTGTTTGGGAAGCATTTGACGCAAAGAGAGAGGAAGATCCCGTAATGCCAAGTTTATGAAAAAAATACCAAAACATAACCAAATATCGCGAACCTAACATTTAAGTGAATGGCTTTTACTTAATGACCGAAAGCATATAGTTTGTGTAGAGTTATCAGTGCTTAGAGACAAACAACACTGCGAGAAAAAACGCAGAAATTTATATGAGATGTACAACGAACGTATTCGTTATAATAGTGCGGCGAAATGTGGCTCTCTAATGGGTTATGAGAGCAGAAGATCGACTAGACACCTGGATCGACTGCGCCATCATGACACCAGTGGCGAAAATAGAGGGGGGAGATCATGGTGGATCGTCTCTGTGTGACACATTTTAGAGTTGACACCAATTAGAAAATTTTATAGTTGAATTATATAATTTTAATGATTTATTTGTAGCTTCTCCAAATTAAAGTTTGTAAAATCTAGTTTTCGATCGTCAATGACTGAATGAAGACTTTCTTATTTGGCTGTATTGACAATAGAAAATGAAATTGCAAATAAACATAGATTCTGATGAAATTATTGATACATTTATCACTCTTCAATCTAGAAAAGTGATTTTGTACAAAACATGAATTTCTTCATTTCTTTGTGAGTCTTCGTTTCAGATTATTTATTTAAAAATTATATTTCAATTATTCTGAATTACGTAAATTTTTAATATATTATTAATAAATTTCCTATGCTAATATATT